TGTGTGTGTGTGTGTGTGTGTGTGTCTGTCAGTGGTGGGTTTCAAAAATTTTTGGAATTTCTTCTGTAGGTGTGGCCTGCTTTCTGGTGGAACCTCTTCTAACCGGTTCAGTAGATTTGACAAACCGGTTCTACCGAACTGGTGCGAACTGATAGGAACCCACCTCTGACTTAAATGTTTTCTTCCCACATTAAATTTCAGATGAAAATTGTCTCACACACACAGTTGAAAACTGTTTTTTCCCCCCTTCGTCAAAAGTATCTTTATAAGAATGTAAGAAGAACAGATGGCAGAGTTTTATAAAGGTGAATTAATGCAAGCATCCTTTCATTCAAGAGATTTCAGATTAGTGTGGGAACACTTATTCCCCTATCTCCAGACATTATATTAATGTAGACGGCTCCAAGTTCAAGAGAACTATAATTATATCAGAACACTGGGCTTGGGTAGAATCTATCTCTTAACCAAGCAACAACAAGAAAATCAACATTTTACTACTACCTGCAAAGATTATTCAGATTATCAAAAATTATCACATTTACTTCAATCTGCTGTTTTATTTTATCAGATCTCTACCTTGGACCAAAGAGGCAGTTTCTAAGCAATAAGCATCTCTTAGAAAATTGCTATGAACTGATATCTAAATCACATTTTCTTTGGGACATTGCATTTTTTTAAATTCTTTTTCTTCTTTTTCCACTATGTTGCAGAAGAGTTTCTGTCATTCCTCTCTTATCAGAAGCCCCTCCTTCTCTGCAGCTTCTCTGCAACTTCTTGACATACATACTAACTTTCTTTCTTTACATCATCTAGCTTATCTACATCCTTCCTTCATCCCCTGCTTGTACTTGACCAGAGATTCCATATTCAGCTACTTCCAATCTTGTAGAGAATTGGCAGCAGTAAAGGAATGAATAATGATTTTTAATTTCTTTTCATACAGGCACTGTGAAAACAAGCTTTTTGATTAAGACATTCCGACAAACCCTTTTTTAGTATTCAGGTTGAAGATTCAAGTTAACTGATTTATTGCTAAAAGCTAATGCATGGGAATCTTCTCAACTAACAGTCAGTACCTGGTTAGTTAGATAAGGGTCAAAAACATTTAAGCAGGGAGGTGGGAGTTGACTTAGCTCACTTGTGCCTAAATAAGGATTCTAAACTGATGCCTCTTTTAACTCCTCCCCCTGGCTTGACAGTCCTTCTATATTCATTCAGGTTTACCTTCTGCTGTCTCATCCAGTTCAGACATTCACTGGTGACACGCCTAGTGTATTCATCCCAACCTGATGCACTCTGAGAGCTGTAGCCACCACCTTTGGAGCTAGCCCTTCGGACACGAGGGACACTGATAGCCTTGTAGAGGGCACGCATCTGCTCTTGAAGTTGAAGCAGTCTAAAGGAAAAACGTAACAGTAAGGAAGGAGAAATACAGTTTGCTTGTCTCTGCTGATGATTAGTTTACATACCTTTTAAAATTTATTAATATTTCTGGTTGGTTTTCCATTTGGGTTACCCATCTGTGATAGCTTTTATCAAAGCTTAGAAGTGCATTTGAGGCCCAGCTTCATAAATTTATAACATTCGTGAAAGACATCATGCCTTACTCAAGTGTTGATTATTCACACAAGTGTAATGGACTGTGTGGATGAGACCTGTGTGGGTGAGGGAAAGAGATCTTGCCTAGGGAATGACGAGACAAGAGAGGGAGGAGCCCAGAGGCGCTTAATAGTCAGAAAAAGAAACTTAGGAAGGACCTGTGTCCTAATTGATCAAAGAGTTAAAAGTAGCGGAGGGACGTTTGCAACATTCTACTAATATAGCCTTACAATCAAGTAGATTTAATTTATCTAGTTTGTGTTTTCTATCCAGGAATGCTGACATTAGATGAGATCTGAATAATTTACTATTCAAAAAGAGCCGAGGTGGCACAGTGGTTAGGGTGCAGTACTGCAGGCCACTTCAGCTGACTCTTATCTGCAGTTCAGCGGTTCTAATCTCACCGGCTCAAGGTCGACTCAGCCTCCCATCCTTCCGAGGCGGGTGAAATGAGGACCCAGACTGTGGGGGCAATATGCTGACTCTGTAAACCGCTTAGAGAGGGCTGAAAGCCTTATGAAGCGGTATATAAGTCTAACTGCTATTGCTATCTAGCCCAGGAGTGTCAAACTAGATTTCATTGAGGGCCGTATCAGGGTTGTGTTTGACCTGGGGGGGGACAGGGGGGCAGATTGATGTCACTCGTGTCAAGGGCACCTGTGGTGCCTTTGCTAGTGAAAACGGACTCTCAATCTCCGTTTTCGGCTGGGACGGCCTCCCGCAGCCCTCTGCCAGCGAAAACGGAGCATGCAGTCCCCCCCAAGCTCCATTTTCACTAGCAAAGGAACCACAGGTGCCCTTGACACGAGTGACATCAATCTGCCCCCCTGTCCCCCCCCAGGTCAAACACAACCCTGATACGGCCCTCAATGAAATCTAGTTTGACACTCCTGGGCTAG